AGTTGAAAACTAAGGCCCACACAAAAACTGAATACTAGTGTTTACAGCAGCTTTATTCGTAATTACCAAATGTGGAAGCAGCCAAGATGTTCTTGAGCTGGTAAACGGATAAACAAGCTGGTATAGTCATACAATGGACTATTATTGCATGATTAAAAAGCAGTGAGCTATCCGATTATGCACGGACATGGAGGAATCAAAGTAGGTTACTGAGTGTCAGAAGAAGTCTGAGAAGGCTGTCTACCGGATGATCCCAACTATATGACATTCTGGAAAAGAAAAAACTATGGATATGGGAAGATGTACAGTGGTTGCCTGGGGTTCAGGAAGGAAAATGGAGGGATGGATACGTAGAGCACAGGGAATTTTTAGGGTAGTCAAACTATTTTGTAGGACACAGTAATGGTGGATACATGTGATTACATTTATAATACATTTGTCAAAACTCCGAGAGTGTACGATACAAAGATTAAACGCTAACATAAACTATGGGCGTTACTTAATAATAATGCATCAGTATGGGTTCATCAATAGTAACGAATGCACCACTCTAATGTAAGGTATTAATAATAAAGAAGCATGTGAGTAGGACTGAGGTGGCTTATGGGACTGCACATTCTGTTTAATTATTTTATGCCACTCCAAACACTAGATATTAAAAAAAAAAAATCTCTTCTCTAACTAACAGCCACTAACATCTGGCCTCAAAAATAGATATACCAGGATAGATTCGTAAAAAGTGAATGATAGAGACTTTGGGAGTTCTACGGAGGACTGTGAAGTAGAATTGTAGAGGCTCTTAAATTAAAGCTCTTATAAAATAAACAACATATAAATTTAAGTTCCCAAAAGAATGAAGCTGAAGCCCCTCCCTTTCCCCTCTACAATTTCATTAATGGGAACGGATTCATTGGAAAGCTTTGCAATGTTTTAGGTCAAAACCTAAACAATGCCTACTTTTAGAAAAGTGAAGATCTCTCGTTTTCCCCAGCATCCTGAATTCTCCATTTTTAAATATTCAATATACAATAATTTAAGGCACTGTTATTTCGCCAGTCACCCAACATTTAAGACACAGTTCTGAAGCTGTATATACTATTTGGTTTTGCTTTTGTGTTGACTTCACAGTTCTTTTAAATTGGTTCATTGTGTATTTGATCTCTCTGATTAATTATACATTCCTCCCCAAAACCCAGAACTTTTGATATAGCAATCTTTCTATCAAAGGTAACCGAGCAACTTAAAATCTGTCCCTGAAGGAAAAATTATTCTTTATATCGAAACTGCTGTGATCATTTTCATCAGCAAAGAATTAATTGCTGTGATTGGCCAACTAGAACACTTTCTTCTGCTGGCCTCTTATTGTTTCTATGAAAAGTGTATGAATTCTCCGTTTCTTTTTAATATTATTTTAGCATGGTTTTGAGAAGCGGCATTTAGTGTGTCTAGTTCTTAAGGGGTGGGGATCAAAAAGTACACTCTCTCTTCATAGGCCTGAAAATCTTCACATCATCCTGGAAGAAAGACAGACCTTTGGTTGGATATTTTCTGAGGCACAAATCATCGTCCTACAACCAAAAGCGAAGTTCTCAGTAATTTCCATTGTCAAAAGGTCTACCACTGTCATGTGTTGGTCTCAGTTGTATTACCCCTAGGATGACATGACTGAGGTACATCCCTAGGGGGCAGAAGGGAAGGGAGTGGCAAGAAGACCCTTAGCAATCAGGAAAAAAAAAATACTTAAATATAATATTAGAAGAATAAAAATTAGTGCAAACAAACCTTGAACAAAATACAGAAATACTAAATAAGAAAGGCTCCAAGAGAGCTGGGATTTGGTGGGTGAGTCATCCAACTAGAGTCAGCTCCTGTCTTTACTGGAAATCCTGATTACTTGGGGTTCTAGTCCTTTTTAACACTGGAGACTCCGCCCTCGAAAGGGGACTGTCTAAAGGCACTGGATGTGTGCTCCTTTATGGGAACCTCAGGGTGCGATGTGTGTGCCTAGAGACGGCAGTAAAAATCCCGTCATGGCTTCTGTTTCAGTTCGCAACACTGCTGCTTTGTCTACTTCTCAGAACAGTTCTCCCGAGCTACTCTGTGCCATGTCCTCCTGCCCTCACTGTGAGGCCTTTGTGCTAGGTCATTCTTGATGCAGGCTTGCTTGCTAAAGTCCATTCCTGACTCCATTTTAACTGTCTTGGACTGGAATGCTTTTTGTACTTGGGTGAAAAATACCACAAAATCTCCCCTAACTTGATCTTCAGAGAATGGTGTTCCTAGCTATGCAGCCCTGCAGTCCACACTGGCTTGTCTGGGCACGAAACGTGATCAATGTATTCTATTTTCCTATGAGACCAAGGTAAGCATGGAAAAGTGTTTCTCTATGTAAAGTGACCTGTAATGTTTATGTTCTGCAGAACCTCCTTGGTAAGTTCAGCCTGGTGATGGAAACAGAGCCTGATCCTAATACAGGCAAAGAAAACATGCTTTAAGCTAAGTGCTTTAAGCATGAAACTCTTGCCAGCCCCCAGGTCATCTTAGAAAAGACAGTCTAAGTAGTCACTGTGTTTTGGCTCCACAGCCCAGTGGCATCAATATCATCTTTATAAACGGGATCCCCATTTCCTACGAGTGTTCCTTAAACACATGGTGGCAGGGAAATCAAAGCTGGGTCATTTGTCTTGCTGCTGTGACTTACGTGTGCCTGAGGAGAAAAATGGAAGAAGATGCAGCATCATCGCCTGCAAGAGCGGTTCGGATCCGAGATCAGTATCGTGTCCTTCCCGCCTCTTTTCCCCCATAATCTCCTACTGAATAACTACTTATTCTTCACTTGTATATAATCCAAGCAACCTGGACACAAGCTGGTGTATGTTCATTCAGGACCAAAAAACCCCGAATGTAATAATTCAAGGCTACATCTATGGTTAGTTAACAAATTTCAGGCTCTCCAGCTGTGGGTATGAAATAGAAGACGACTCTCTCTCTGACATGGACACGGCAGGAGTTAATGGGAAACCGAGTGACACTGATCACTGTGAGATGGCTGGCTTGGAGGGATGTTCTGGAACTGATCTGCTGTTAGGCCACGCCATCTCCTCAGGCTTAGCGCTAGACCATCAATCTACTGTGAAATGAAACATGAGCTGTTATTGGGAACACTAACATATTTGTGGAAAACACGAAAGATATGCGGAGAAAACGTGGAGAAGGAGAATTTGCTTTTCTGCAAGGAGCAGAGGCAATATACAGGCAATACCGACGAGGAGCACAAAACAGTTCCGATTTACTGAATATGAGAGAAGCGATTCCGGCTCCCTCAGGCATATTAATTTGGATTATTTAGACAACTGAAGGAAGTCAGTATTATTATTTCTGCTTGAAAAATGAGCAGACTCGGTCTCAGAAATGGTACGGGTCTCAGCCAAAGTCACACAGTTGGCGTGAGGCTGCGAAAGCATTGGAGGTCGGATCCGTCTGGCCTGCCAGCATGTGGGTCTGTCTCTATGGCCTCCTTCTCAGCCGTCCCACTGTTTCCTCCACTAGAATTCCATACTTTTTAGTGAGACAACTCTCAGGCAATATCCCAGGTTGGGCAAAATCTCCACAAAGTTCTCCAGCTCAGACCCCATACACCAGCAGCTAAAACATCTAAAAACACCTTCTTTCTCTAAGGGCCTCAGTTTTGAAGAACGTGTGCCATGAATGAATAAATCAGCATTCTCACTGCTGGAATCAACTATTCTATTAATTTATAAATATTCTGGTTTTTTGGTTGTTTTCCATGTTACTTTGAATCTTTGATTGGTACCTGGTCAATCTTGGATGAACTAGGAAACTCAAGTTTCCGAGATGACGAAAATGAAGGAGTGCTCCATTGGTTTTCAAGGATTTTTCTACAGTCTTCTTACAAGCATGTCTGTCCAAGAGCAATGCTAAAGAAAGCCAGACCGCTACAAAGCTTCTCACTGCCCTTGCTCATGCCGGCCCTCTGCCTCAAATGCGTTCCCTGCATTGTCTCCTGACAAATCTCCCCTCCTCCTTTAAAATCCAATTTAAATGGCTCTCAGCTCTTCTGTGAAATCAGCCTGTGATGTCCGGAGTAAGGCCAGTCCCCATGACCTTAAACTTGTACCTAATTTTGCAGACCCCCTGTTACAGTCACTCAGCACTCTATAGGAACTCCTTTTGTATCATTCTTTCATCTCATCTAGCCTATGAGTTTCCCAACCATGTGGAGTCAGAGTCACCTTGTTACTCCAGTACCTGCAAACAGCACTTGACATAGGAAAAAGTCCTCAATAAATATTCGCAGAAATGACATTTTAAAACCATTCAGTCTTATCCTTGAGGAAAATGTGAAAAGATGGGTACTTGTTAGGGGCCTATTTCCTTGAAAGGCTTAACTAAAATCATGGTTGTTGAAAGAAGTTCATTCTAATTTCACTAAACGTGATTTATTATAGTTAAGCTTCCTCTTGTATCCTTCCTTTTCCTTGCCTCTCCATGTTTAACATACCTTCTGCTTATAGAATCAGAGGGTGCCTGAAATAACAGTGAGAAACATGGAGCCCCAGAAAGCCAAGGGATTTACCACAAATCACAAAGCTAAGTGAGAGAGGAAAGTTGAACACTCTGGAATTCTGAGCCCCCTTGTTACTCTTTCTAGTGGACCAAGATGTTACGGAAATAATAATAAAAACTTTCTAAGCTTGCTTTTGCTCTTTAACCTATTCAGAAGAAACTTACTTACTTACTTTCTTTCTTTTTTTTTTTTTTTTTTAATAATTTCATGGGGCACTAAACCCTGGAAAAATTTGCCACCAGGTTTGTGACTAACCCTTTCCAAACGAAGCCATCCACAAATTTAATGTTATAAATATTGGTCCCATACCGATAGCTCTGGTTTTCTTTTCTCTGTTACAAAGCCATAAAATGTGAGCACGTGTTCATCTATATATAGTAGCTGTTGTAATAAAATGAGATATTGAACTGACCATAGTCCGTGTTTTCTGGCTCCCAGCAATTTGATGGCCAAAAATAGGGTGTCTGTGGAATAAAAAGAAATGGAACCCAGGTTAAATATACACGAAATTGGTCAAGTTCTTGGTTTTTGAGTTGCATTCTTCTTCAGCAATTACCCAGAATGGTTTGCAGATAATGCATGTTTAGTAATCCAGGAAAAGCACCCAAAGAGGCATTGCGTAAGGCTTTTCTTCCCCATTTACTTTGCTGAACAATTGTTCAGTCTCCAAATGTGTATAGTACCAGGAGGTACTTAAAATTACGGTCATACATTTGCTGCAGTTTTATGTCAGGTGACATAAAGGTAAAAGGTCTCATTGCATCATTCAAAAAAAAAGTGTTAACCCACAAAGACTAAAAGCAGACTATTAAATTCAGCAAGACTCAGGATGAAATATATTTAAATATCACAAATATTTCAAGTACTTCATTATTGCCTCCAGAAGATCAATGCTCAACCATCAAAATTTTCCCTAAAATCTGGCAATCATTTGTCTGGCTTTGTTAATTATATAAGGCAGCTCTCAACATTACCCAACTAGACTTAAACAAATTTCCTGTCGTCTTTAAAAAAAAAAAATTTCTCCATAAAAACAATTATTGCTTTAAATTCTTAAACTGCAGAAACCAGAGGTGACTTTTCAAAAACAAATTTTACTTGATTTTAATTGTTTCAATCTAATCAATTTTAGTTGATTAATGTGATTAATGATCGACAGAAATCTCATTCTGTGAAATTCTAGAAACTGACCGGCAGAACTACAAAGAAATTGATCAGGAAAACCTGTATCATCAACATTTTGTATTTTCTCATAGGGGTTTCCTAGGCCCACAAGATGGACACACGAGGTTCCAGACCAGGAGGAAAATGGACGACCACCTGTCTACTCTTTCAAACTTTGATGATGACTGTAGGACTCAATGAAACAAGTCACGGCAGATGTCAAACTTGTGGGCTTAATCATATTTATTAGTCACTTATATCAGCTACCCGTGTGTAATGAGCATAGCCAAAGAGATCTCTGAGTAACTGTTGGATAACTCTCCCACCGGAAGAGGGATATTCAAGGAGGAAAGGATAACTGGGGAGAACCATTTGACTCTCTGAGGGAAAGCGTTTTCAAACGGGATTTTGATTTACCCTCTACTCCTTCTTGGGAATTGCTGCAGGATAATGAAGAAATCTGCTGATGTTACGCGTGTGAACAAAATGACAACAAGAATTTAGGTGGGGTGGGGAGAGTTGGAGCACTGGACAAAGGAAGACATCAAGGATTTCTATGGCACCATCTCCATGTGATTCAAGAGCTTTGAGGGTAAAATCGGGTCAGGATCTATGGGAACCACAGGAGACAAAGTAATTAAAGTCTTTCGGGCCGCTAGTCTATGAGGTACTTTTCAAAAGCATTTTCCCCTTTATTTTGTGAGGGTGCGTGTGTGTGTGTACACGTATCGAACTTTTAAAATATCTATTCTAGTCAGACTGGTCAGACACATACTTCTTTCTCAAAGCCATGAGGAATGTTCTTAGCTGCATTCTTATAATTTTTCTTTATTCTTCTATCATTTACTTTAGTGAGGGCTTCCTGACTAAAAATAAAAGAATGAAGCTATTTTATGCTGTGATATTATGTGGAAGTGCCATAAAACCAACATTTGCAACAAATATTGCAAGATTTTTTTCTAGAAAAAGTATTTTAATTTCTAGTAAAAAAGAATTTAAGTGACAAATGCTTATCGTGGGTTGAAATTTAAAAATTTACTTTTATTTTTATTTTCTAAATTTTTAAAAAGATTTTATGTATTTATTTGAAAGAGAGAATGAGAGAGAGCACACGAGGTGGGGAGGGCAGAGGGAAAAGCAGACTCCTCTTGCTGAGCAGGGAGCCCGATGTGGGACTTGATCCCAGAACTCCAGGATCATGACCTGAGCTGAAGGCAGTCGTTTAACCAACTGAGCCACCCAGGTGCCCTAAAAATTTACTTTTAAAGTTCAAGTAGACTCCAGGATGTCTTAATGTCCGAGCTTCTCTTTTCTTTTCACAGTTGGCTTCTTCAGCTATGATAAAACTGATCTAGCCATTACTTAATAACCTTTGCACGTATGCTAATGTAATGAAAGTCATGAAGGGGCCTGGAGAATCATGTCAGATCTCAATTCCAGCTAGCGAAAAGAGGATAATTAGACAATTGCAAGTTTACAATAAATACAGAAATCACAAGATTAAAAATGTGCTGAGAAATTGAGACAAATTTACATACTGCGGCATATCAATGAAATTAAATGAAGAGTTCTGTTTGTCTCAAACTCGTGCACTGAAGCTTCTTCAGATTCCTAATGAAGGTTAGCATCTCAGTCATTCACGGGAGGAACAGTAAACATGATAGTGCAAGCTTCCCATTTTAATTCATGGTTTTTAAAAATCCTCCCAGGGAGCTGAATTTCAGCTCAACGTAATAAAGAACTTTCTGCAGCTTGGAACCGACACAAAAATGGAAGTGGGCACCTTGGACAACAATAATGTGTTTTCCATTATTAGGGCTATTCAAATATAAACTGATTAATGCCTTCACAGACAGGAAGGCAGAATTCAATTATCCCTGACTTGTCTGGAGTGTCCTTTGTTTGTTTTTTAAATCTCGGTTTTAAGATCTTATGTTTATTAGATTTACAAATACGGCATATTTAGGGCCTATTTCAAATGTAAATAGATCATTAAGATATTTAACATTTAATATTTAATATTAATTAATGTAATTTGAAAGACTATTTATCATCTACCTACGCACACTGAAAACTTGTTAAACTTCTGCCTATACCACTTGCACTCATTCCCTTGTCTTGCTCTAAAGCTCTTTAAAAACAGTCTCTACTTTCTCCAGAATACAGAGTGGCCCATTCCAACCCTGCACATTTTTGACCCATGACCATGACTAAGCCATGTAAACTTTATCTGCCTACAGATTTCAGTCTGGGGACGACAAGAGCAGAGTTAAAGGTTGCAGATTAGGTTAACTCAAAACATCATCACAAACATTGGGTCAATGTCTGAGCTAGTTTACTTTAAGGAAAAAAAAAATTCTTTCAAAGATTTTATTTATTTATTGGTCAGAGAGAGAAAGAGGACAAGCAGAGAGAACAGCAAGCAGAGGCAGAAGCAAGCTCCCTGCTGAGCAAGGAGCCTGATGTGGCACTTGATCCCAGGACCCTGGGATCATGACCTGAGCCAAAGGCAGATGGTTAACTGACTAAGCCACCCAGGCGTCCCAAAGAACAATTTTAAATTAGCTAATTCTCCAGAGATAAACAGACTATATCTAATGCTTCTCTCATTGATATGTTCTTTTACACAGAGATGATTTTAGTGGTACCATTGATTGCTAAGATAGATAAAAGCTGTTATTTTTGTAAAAAGAAAAATCTTTTCATTCAGAATTTGTGAGATTTTTATTAGATTTTTATTAGTCTCTATATGAAAAATTTTTCAAAGAAAGCAAGATTATATGGAAAATGTAATCCTCCAGTAGCAGAAAAGTAATTACCTTAAAAAAAAAAGTATTACAAATACATAAATATTTTACTTATCACTAATAATTTTTATTTATTAAAATTTCCCTTTGGTGGGGGTGCCTGGGTGGCTCAGTGGGTTAAGGGTTAAGTGACTGCCTTAGGCTCTGGTCATGATCCTGGAATCCCAGGATCCAGTCCACATCAGGCTCCCTGCTCATCAGGGAGTCTGCTTCTCCCTCTGACCCTACCCCCTCTCATGCTCAATCTCTCTCTCACTTTCTCTCTCAAATAAATACATAAAATCTTTAAAAAAAAAAAAAGCTACCTTTAGGACCATAAGTTACTTTAACTTATTAATAAGCTACTTTAAGCTACCATTAGTTTAACAGTATAAAGGATAATGTTCCTTTATTTTAAAGCCTTTTAATATTAATTAATTTAACTAATTTCTGTTGCTTGAAAACTTAGGTTGGTATCGTGATTTCAAGAGAATGCTTTATCTCCTAGCTATTCAGTGCATAAAGGCCTGTGACTATTTGCCTTGGATAAAAAGTTCTTGAGGAAGTGGCAGAGAGTGTTCCAGGAAGACAAAGGTAATCTTTAAATATTTTTAAAACATATTCCCTGTTTGTTTTCTGTTTGTCCAACCAAGTTCTTTGGCAGCCAAGTTATTATTTTGTCATTTATTTAGACAGAGAAAATCTACTAATATTTTGAACAAATGAGAAAGAATACTCCAATGTCTAAAAGCTTGACAATGGGGGGAATCCTCAAAAATACCTAAAGGCTAGGGTTCGAACTCTGGCATTAAACGTGTCTTAATTTTATGGGCTAGAATCCACCAGCCCATTATTAATGAACTATATTGCCCAATGAAATGTAGAATTTACTTCAGGTAAGTCATTATGAACTTGAGTGTCAGCTACAGGCTCAAGGACCAAAATCAGAGTCCGCAATCACTTCTGAAAGCATAAGAGCCTCTCCTTCATCTGAAAATGACCTTGGACTGAAGGCAGTCTTATATCAAGGACAGAGCTCCAGAGTGTAACCCAGTCAGTGACACTTGTCAGCTTCCTTCCCAGGGGCTAACGCAGCTAACACGTGAAGAACTCTCCTGTGTCCTGAATTCCAGCAAGCCACTCTCTGGATTTTTCTCAAGCTTTAATATAAAACATAACTTCAATCATCACATAATTTAGCTTTCACAAATCATCATAACCAAGCACGTTCTATCTTTCCCTACTTATTGTTTCCTTATATTTAACACTAATTCGTTTCTAACTAGACTAAGTCAAATAAAATAAGTCATGTCTCCAAAATTTCTGTAAAAACAATCAGCGAACAGAATGCTGGCTTCTATTTTTAGCGTTAAGGAATACTTTCATTAAACTTACCTGAAACCGATAAAAGGTGCCGTCATCTTTGAGCGTGAGGACGTGATCCGAGATGGGAAAGAAATAGCCATGAGCAGCCATTAATGTCCCCAAATGCAGCGCCTCCACTGTTTCATGAAAACAAACAAAAATGTACACAAACATTTTTTAAAATGTTAATTTGTGGGAGCATAGAATTTTATCTTGTTCCTTTTCGAGCACATTCTTGCATCCAAATTCTTGGCATCCTAAACAACTTGGCTCTGAATTTTTTCTTTCTCCAGCTCTTCCACAGGGAGTACTAAGGTGGTTCTGGTTCCTAGGAGTAACTGTGCAATGACCAGCCACACCCACGACAACCAGCACACGAGAGCACACCACTATGGAAGGTGGACACTGGAAGGCTATTCTGAAATCACAGAATCGGACTCCTTCGTTCTATAGAAGGGATCTATTTCGCTAAATGTTAATATAGTCTTCCACCAATAATTATATTTGGCATTTATATAACACTTTAAACTTTTATTTTTTAAAAGATTTTATTGATTTATTTGAGAGAGAGAGAGAGAAAGCACAAGCCAGAGGGAGAGGGAGAGGCAGGCTCCCCACTGAGCAGGGAGCCCGATGTGGGGCTCGATCCCAGGACCCTGCGATCATGGTCTGAGCTGAAGGCAGACAGTTAACCGCCTGGGCTGACCAAGTGCCCGTAGCACTTTCAACTTTTTAAAGGTGTTGTCACTTGCATCACCCCTAGCCTACATGACGGATAATCCAGTACTACTGGCAATTTTTCTACTGGCAGGGATCATTATCACACGATGTCATCAGAGAAAGTTAAGGCACAACGACCCGTTTATGCCACATTATGTGAGTGCTAAGCACCCATTTAAGCTGCTTCTCTGGCCCTGTGACTGTCCGGACTGCTCTGGTTTCTACCACTCTCTAGTCAGCGTTCTCAATATAGACCATGCCGAGGTTTACTTGACAATGAAAAGACTACGTTTTTCCAGAAGGCCAAGAAACAGTCGGCACATAATACTGCGATACTCACACTCCTTCTATAGTAGGCAACCATTTCTTCCCATAAAATGCTTAACAAAATTTCATCAAACAGAGTTCCTATTGCATTCATGTGGGGACAATATAAAGTTTCCTAACTTAGAGTCTGGAAACCGTGGACCTATGCACAATCGTTTTTCAGTCCATCAGAAAGTTAGATTTATGGATCTGTTTTGTATCTTTATACGCAGCTTACTTATGGATGTATTTCTGTTTCTTAGACAAGTAAATGGTTCCTAAACTTGAGAATTCTTTCGGTAGTTCCAGGAATGTGTGGCTCTGTTTTTCCAGCAAGCGATCCTGGAGAGCTTTGATATTCCAGCCAGGACTGAATCCGTCACTGGATAGCTTGCTACGGTACCCTTCCCTATCCTCCACCCTCCCATGCTGATGTGGGCTAAAAATAAATTTTCTTTTTTAATTTTATCAAAAAATTAAATTTTCTCTGCCATGAGGTACCATGGTGCCCCTTTTAATTATCATTCAGCATCTTGTAAACACTTCAGTTGGTAATTCCTTCTACTTCTGGCCTCTCACTCTGTTGTTCTTGTCACTAAGAAGAACTGTCAATCAACCTCTTGGCCATCCCCTTGGAAGACTGTTATTAAGGTTCCCAGCCGTCAACTTATCCACACTTCCGATTAAGTCCTTCCCTGCAAAGAATGTTCCTTTGCTACAAAGGAGCAATTTTTTCACCATATATATATAAATGATATATTTATCACTGATACATTTATCAAATATATCAAATGATATATTTACCATTGATATATTTATAATTGATATTATGATATAATAAATGATATCATAATAATGATATATATCATTATATATATGATCATAAATATCAATGATATTGATAAAATATCAATATCATCCAATATTCTGTATCCTTTTAGCTCAAAGTCAAGGTCTTCTCAAAGCCTGTGCTGCTTCCAGTTACATTCCCCCACGTTCTACGACTCTTGCTGAAACTCAGGAGCTAGTGGGGTGTTGTAGGAAGAACAAAACCTTTGGAGATACTCGCTAGCCTTTGTTACTTAAACTCTGTGTGTCTCTCCCATTTATTAATAAAGGCAGCAAAACCACCTTGCAGGATTGGTATGAGAATGAAACAAGAGTCAACGTGAAGAAGTTGGAATAGCACCCCGTGCACGGGAGACAGTCAACAGAGGGTAGCTGTTAAGCATCATTATTTACACATGAATTCTTGTCACTTTCATCCAAAGCACTGTTAGGAAATCCGCTCGCACACATTTGCCTCAACTAGGCTGAGGGAGAGAAATTGGGAGTCTTAAATAGCGTCCTACCCAGCCACGTACGTATTAGTGTGTGTGCGCGTTGTATGTATGCGTGTGCGCGAGTGTGTGGATTATTTATACAATTGAAATAGTGAGAGAATCTGTAAGGAATGCCGGCCCATAACAAGGAGCAGCTGCTCACAGTCTCGCTCATGCCGCGTCCCTGGACGCTCCCATCAGGTGGCAGTGGTCAGAGCAACCTATTACTTCTGCGGCAGAACCACAAAGTCAGGTGGCCCGCCTGTCTCCTTGTAACCAGCTCTATTTGTGGCACTCCTGGCAGTCTGTGGCCTAGGAAAGTATTATCAGCACTACTTTCCAGGAACGGAATGGAGTCATGGCCCATGAGACAGTTTGCAGAGAACAGATTCAAGAAAGGAAGACGGAGATGCCCAGAAAGAGAAATAGTAAAAGGTTGCCAAAGTCTCATCATAGGAATGAGTGGGACTAAAATAAAATAAACAACAGAAACCAGTGGGGGGGAGGGGGCTAAAGGGCTGATGAGGATTAGAAAAACATAGTGAAGGGAAAATATAAGGAAGCTGCAGAAAAAAAAAATTAGAAGCAAATGAATATAAGCATTAGATACTGATTCAGTATCTATACATTAGATACTGATCATATTAGATACTGATCATATCTATACATTAGATACTGATACATTAGATAGATCATACATTTCTAGAGGGCTGGGTGTGTGTCTGCTGGTTTTCCCTCACGTAGCCCTACCATACACGATCAGATCACAGAGGAGTCATGCGCTTTGTCACAGGACCACCAGGAACGTGGTTCTAGGACCAGAGAAATGTTTCGAGGCAAAGTCAGGGTGGAGTGTCTGCTTTACTTCGAACTGCAAGTTCGGCACTTAGCACCTCGAGAGTAAAAGTAGCTGTTAAGGGACACCTGGGTGGCTCAGTTGGTTAGGCAGCTGCCTTCGGCTCAGGTCATGATCCCAGCGTCCTGGGATCGAGTCCCACATCGGGCTCCTTGCTCATCAGGGAGCCTGCTTCTCCCTCTGCCTCTGCCTGCCATTCTGTCTGCCTGTGCTTGCTCTCTCTCCCTCTCTCTCTCTGAAAAATAAATAAATAAAAAAAATATTTTAAAAAAAAGTAGCTGTTAAGCCAATATTTGCTGAATGAGTGAATAAGTCAATTTATGAATCCACGACACAATAAAAATATGAAAAATGTTGTGCTGCATGAAACAAGACAAAACTAGTCATTCTGTGCTGTAATGATGAGTGGCTCGTTCAGCTCCTCCAAGATAAGGCAGATAGATGGTCATAATCTTGTTCCAAGATACTTTCCTAAGCTTTGGAGGTGGGGCTGTGGTACGTATTTTACTACAGGAAGAGGTAATAGTGAGATTAATGGCATACACACCACTGAGAGATCCAAGAGTGGGCATGGGGTAGTGTTCTCAAGGCTGAGCTGTTTATTGCCGGGGATAAAGACGGAGCTACACTTCCCCGTGGTCCTCGGTTTCTGAATCTTGGCACAGCCTTAACCTAATAAGAATCCAGAGGACGGCTGACAGTCTTGGAACAAAGTGTTGAAAGAGTTTAATGAGTAATCCATCAAGATCGCCCTTCCCAATAACGACACACCAGATGGCTCCACCGCATTCCGCTTCTCGGCAAAATAATCACAAATTAATCTTGTACTTGTCTTATTCGTGTCACCCACACAGCTAAATAAAGTTCAATGGCAAACCTACCATAAAGTCCCATTTTATTTTTCTCTTGGACAGTCAAGCCATGAATAAACTGAGAAATAAAAATCCATCTCCAAACAACCGATACTCTGTGAACAGCCGAGGAGAGCTTTGTTAAGCCTGATGTATTCAGGACATTACTTTACCCCAAACCCTGGAGCAAGAGAATTATCAAAACTCTTGAAAAGCAAAGAGAATTCTGCATAACGTAATTTACTTTTGAATCACAATTTGAGAAAGTTAATAGGATGAAAAGCATATTGTAAAATAGGCTTATGTTGTTCTGGTGCTAAATTTCTAAACTCAGTTCTATACTTACAACATATTTTAAAAACCCAATAATATTTATTATTGGATCGTATCCTGAGGTCTAATTCTTGGCAGCCTCAGTCCTCCCAAATACAGTCCATAATTTTGAAGTGACAGAAAAATGCCTCTGAGTCAAGAAAATAATAAAACAAAACTCACTAAATTTAATGTTTTTATTCCTATCACACATTATTTTTATTTTCTATTTATATATATATATTCTATATATAATAACAAAACAATTCTATGGAATTGTTTTGTTATTAGCACACAGCATACTTGATGGGGTCAATATGATTCGTGTGTGGAGATAAATATTTTAAAAGGAAATCTGCTCAAAATAGAAAAAAATGACAGCTGATGACATTAGAGAGAGAAAAGGCTAAAAAGCAGACAGAGGTAAGTTACTGAACAGTAAAATAACAGGCATTCATCATGGTGGTCCTGTATCATGAACATTTTGTTGAGTTTACTACCCTCTGATGAAGAAGACAGGGAACTGGTCACTTTAGAAATACTTCAGGATATTATAACTTTTTTTTAGAATTGGCGCTTGAAAAGGTGAGATGAGTCATGTGGAAAAATCAAATACGCAGCACATTTTATTCTCCAGGACCAAAGAGAAGTAAACTCTTACTATAATTAGGAATTTCTGATGTAAGTCCATTTTCTCAGCAATAAGAGCTAATGAAAGAAGCTAAGTATCTGGGCTTTCATTTTTTTTTTTTTTAAGCACCATTTCTGCA